AATTCCATCCGTAACTGTGTAATATGTTATGGCATCAGTGTGGAAAAAATATTTTTTTCTAGAGAATTGAATGAAGATATTTCCTGCAGCCGTTGTAATAGTAGATACATAATGGAAAATGCAACACGCGTAGAGTAATTTGTTGTGAGCTCGCTACCTGTTATTTTCCATATCCCACCTATTATCACGAGGTTTAAAAACAGGTAACTCCATGCTGACCACCGATGCAGCAGAACAATGGTGGAATTCATTATTTGGTTAACAGTTTATAAAACCACCGTTTTGAATATCATACTGTATTCCTGGACGATTTCGTTGTAGCTAATATTGCAGAACAACATGAGGTAAATGCAGATATTGCTTTATGTACGTAATGTTTTAAAATTTATATTTAATGTTTCGAATGTCTATTAGAATAAGTTTCTATATCCTTCATATCTACGCGTTAATTCAGATTATATAATTTAGAAAAGCTAACAATTTAAATGAATGCGGGTTTGATAAGTAATTTTTCGTTTTATTAAATCTCATTACCAATTAATTAAATTTTGAAATTTTTGAAAATACAGCACATTTCATTTATTACGACCTTGGTTGTAGCGACCATTTTGCTATAGCGAATTCCCTTGAATTTAAAGCATACTTTAGTACAAAATTCATGTGATTATAGCGACTTCGGATGTAACGCCGACTTGGGTTGTAGCTATTGTTTTTAATGAATCATTTGTAACAAATCCCTAGTAATCCCATGCAGATATAGCGCCCGGAGTCGGATGCCAAAGACACGAAGAACTTTCTTATCTTTTGTTTACATCCTCACAGATGGTCAGCGAGTGGGTAACCATACTGGTTGTTTATAAATGTTAGTTAAAATGATTCAGGTACAAAGTCATATTCTGAGTAGCAACTCTGTTTAGCAAACTTTTGACTCTGTTTACCAAATTTTTGAATAGCTATGACTCCTAGAAACACATTTACTGTTAAAAAAAGGCGGAAATCGTTTCAAAATTGGAAAATTTTGAAAACTTTACAAACGTGTCTGTTTCTTTTTGACTGTAACGACTTCCGTATATAACGACGAAATTACAATGGTCCCTTCGTCGTCTACTGTATAATCAAAAGTGAAATTCAACACAGTTCTTTTAAAAGAAAAAAACAAGACTCTACGACTGTTTCAACGGAATAAAAAAATATTCAAAGAAAGTTTACCAAGAAAATTTATGCTACCTAGGAATTGATACGAATTTCATTTGCAATGTACGCATTTGTTGTCCTTGAATCAAGAAATTACTCTATTTTTTGTTTATTATTATATAAGCCTTTCTTTTGTTAACCTACAGTGTACACTTATTTTTGAAACTTGTAATTATTGCTTCTATTGATTTTGGCAAGGAGCAATATATTTTGTACTCAAAAAGCTTCGCTTTGATGTTGTGATAGATTACACTGCAGTTTTGAGCCTAATGGTAACATTAAATGGGGGTTTTCTACAGAAAATTAAATTTCCATCGGTGAAAATAAGTAAAAGTAAAAAAAATAAATGATATATACAACCCAAGTTTTCTCAGCCCTATATCCCGAAAACTATTAGTTCTACGTTTATTTACAATCTTTTTTTATGTATACTTCTTTTATAAACAATTTTTATATTATTTTAACTAACATTACGTAAAATTGATAATTTACAAGATATTTGAGAAANATTGCGTCTGCAATGTACAAGTCTTCCTTTCCTTTTTGTCCCGTTTTTACAAAGAGCTTACAGCAACTGTCTAACTTTGAGGTTTTTGGATAGAGATATTAACTAGGAGTCTGATTTCTTGATGATACTGCGAGGGTAGATAATCTTTGCCACCTGTCAGATTTCAGTGAACACCGAACCAAGGACCAATATTATTTTTATGTTCCTTATGTCTTTTTGTAATCTTATTACAACCCATTTACAACCCATATACACAAATGCTTTTCGAGTTTCTCAAGTAGTTTTACCTAAAAATCATAAAACAGGTCTATTTTTAACATATTTCCTAATTAATAACACAACTTGAAAAAGCCAACTGAGAAGATATTAGGGGGGGAACATCTACCGACATACCCCTCTTTGGCTAGGGCCTTGATTATCCGAATTGAGGTCAAACGTGTGACTATGACTAGGCCAACAGTTTATTACAATTTACTATTATTGTACGTATAGGTACAATAGAGGTCTAGTTAGTAGTTACTAAGTCTTGTTCATAACTTTTGAACGAATTATTTAAGTCGTAGTGGAGATTTAGTATTTTTACTTTATTTTTCCCATATTGATTTCCATGGCGTCATTGCCATTCGTTCTATATTTTCTCAAGACCTTTTTATTTCTAATCTTTTCTAGACGCGCGCTATTTTCATTATCCTGCTTTAACACCACATCTCAAACTATGAACTATTAATCTGAAAATTCATTTTTTGAATTTTTTACCCACTACACGCTACCTCAAATTAATGAGGGAAAAATTGTTGCTGTTGTCACACCCCCGTCGGGAATCGAACCCGGGACCTTTGGCTTTACGCACCAATGTTCTGACCACTAAACTACGAGAGGTGACAACAACAACC